CTGGGCTGAAATACATGGTGCAGCAAGAAAACCGCCCTCTGTCATACCTGACGACAGCGTGGTTCCTGGAGCAGGTTGATCGTTGGTTTGATCTGATGTCATCTCGCCATCCAATTACAGCCCTGAGCAGGCTCAAGATGGAGGAGTACCAAAAGGCCATCACCTTCCTCCAGAACATCGTCCATCTGTTTCGTGGGATAAAGATAGGTCAAAAGGGAGGTTGGAAGCCTGTTCAAACAGGGGGTGATAATGGCAACAACATCAATTTTGGCCATACAAGAGGAGATGCTTACACAAGGACACAGGTTTGTGTTAACGTCAAGGTTCACACAAGACTGCCTTGAAAATACATTCAGCTGTGTGAGGTCTAAAAATCCTGTCCCAACTCCAGTGGAATTCCATCATGCACTGAGAATCATATCTGTGGGGCAGTTCCTCACCACCATCAGCTCTGGGAGCTACCAGGAAGACCACAGTAGCTTTTTGGCAGACTTCCTGGACACAGGGGAGCCAAAAATCACTCCATCAGTCAGAGTGGAACAGCTGATGGCGGTGAACAGAGCAGCAGCACCTGACCTCACAAAAACTGAGAAATGTATTCTCTTCCATCTTGCAGGCTACATCGTCCACAAAATCATCAAGTTTGCCAGCATCTGTGAAAAATGCAAAATTGCAACAGAGCACCATGATGAGAGTCCTTCTGGTGACAACAGCTTGTTAGTGGACTTGAAAGACTTCAAGGCAGGTGCTCTTTGTCGTCCCTCCCAAGAAGCCTTTGACTTCATTCACCAAATAGAGGAACTATTTAGGACCAAGACTGGTTCCTCCCTCATGCAGCTCCCCAACGCAGTGGGTGTCTTGGAGAAAGAAGCTCAGGCCCTCTCCAGCAGGCTTCCGTCATGCTGTGGAGTACAACAAAAACTCGTAAAAAGATTAATACGGCTGAGGCTGAGAATTGAGGCAAAACAAATCAGAAATGACAGAAAAAAAATAAAATTAAAAGATGGCCATTTTGGAAGCAAGAGCCAATCCAAAAAGGTGAAAAGGAACAACAGCAGCCAAGCTACCACATCCAGCAACCCCCAAACAGATCCACAGCTGCAATCATTTCCATTAGCCGTTGCAATGGAAATATTTGGACTAAACATTGCTCTTCCACCTGCCAGCACCCAGCTAACATCACTGCCCCTCCACCCGTAACATCACTGCCCCTCCACCCGTAACATCACTGCCCCTCCACCTGCCAACATCACTGCCCTCCACCTGCCAGCACCCAGCCAGAGGAGCGCAAACAACAAAAACAAGCAAGGTGTCCCGTCATGTACCTGGAAGTTTGGGTTGGCAAAATGGAGTAAGAGAGGGACTTGAAAAACCTTGGTGGCTCTCTACTCCTGTTGTTACAGTTGTCTTGGTTACAGCTCTCACATGTTTTTTTGTTGCCATTTCCACATCTTTAGAAAATATGAAATAAAAAATTGAAGTGAAATCAACCTCTTCTCTGGAGAACAAACTTTGATTTCTCTGTCTTGTGAGTTTGCAGTCTTGCTCCTCCACCTGTAACATCACTGCCCCTCCACCTGCCATACAGTAGGTTACTAACAAGATTACTTATATAATACAGTGATAGAATACATGTTTAGTATGCTTACTTATATAAAACAGTAGTATTAAACTTACCTTGTGTTTTCACACTCACTTAAGTTCCTCTCCCTTTGCCATCAATCCAAAATCAGCTGAGCTGCAACATTATACAGACAGGTAATAATCAACATAATCACAAGGACACAATATGGCTCTGCTAAAAACACTCACTCTTACACGCACCAAAGTTATATGTATCTAATATTTAACTCCCTCCACCCCCGCATACAATCCCGTTTAGAAGCCCCTCTTCTCTAATTCAACAACGTTGGACCAAATGACATTAAGAGAACGGAATTTACAATTAAAAGGCTGTTCAACGTCTGTTGCTAACTTGATTCGGTATCCTAGCTTAATCTGTTATCTGTAAACGTTCCCTAAATCTACTGATTTAGGGATAATCCACTGACATCCTTTAATACACATGTTAATTTGAATCAGATGTACTGATAATATCCGCAATATAAATCTTTAAACTTCTTCTTACCTTTAAAAGTCCGTCACGAACGGTTATTATGCTGCAACTCCACAGCTCTGCTAGCCTTGGCGCTAACTTCCGGGGAACGAATGAGAGGCTCCACGATCCGCCATTGCTGTAAAAAAGTGGTCCATTGGAGTGAACGGAGATGTCGTAACTCTTCTATTATACGGCTCTGGGCGGGGTGTATGGATATCCTAATGACACAAACAGCATCATCTGCTGGACAACTACAATAAGTACAAATACAAATCTGCACTCGACTAAATATAATTAAAAAACTTCATACTAATTAAATGCATGAATGTTTTTAAATATGTGGTATAACAAGTCATATTTTCTATTAGTGTATTTAAGTTCATTATTTAATATTTGTTTTAATTGATATATTAGTTTATTTAAGTATATTATTTAATATTTGTTTTAATTGATTATTCATTTAGTTAGTTCTGTGCATACTCATATCTAGTCCATATATTTCAAATGATACATTGCACTGCATTTCATAGAATGATAGAAAAAGCATTTATTATTTACAACGTTTATCATATAACAGAACAATCATTAAGATAACAGAACCGAAAAAGCAAATACAGTAAATATAAAAACCAAACCAAGTATACAAAAAACATATCTATACAAAAGTGAAAGGCTTTGCTGATGCAAACATTCAACCGCGCTCTTCAAAACAGGCATGAACCTTAAGGTTTTCTTTGTCAATGCACTGCTCAAAAAACATTAAATAGTCCGACTCAAATTTGAACCTGAACATAAATGGGTCCATCCTGTCTTCCCAGCTGTCTTCGTCCCGCAGGTTGCTGGCTTCACCAAGGTTATGGAGAGCTGCTTCTCTGTCCAGTGGGGCCATGGAAATAATTTGTGGCAGGATGACTTTATCTCCCATATTCTTTGCAGAGCACCACTGAGATGCCGCCATAGCACTACTTATAAAGGGGTGCTTCTCCTACAGCAGTGGTTCTCAAACTTTTTCTGTCATTCCCCACTTTGAACAGGTGGGCCTTTCAAGCCCCACCTGTTCCTCTTAAGCTTCATTTTTCAAGCTTAAAATTGTCAAATGTATCGTTCTATAACAGTCTCCAACCTTTTTTAGGATGAGAGCTACTTTCAAAAACTAAAACGAAAAAAATAGCTACTTTTACTCCTCTTTTTTGTTGCACATTTTAACATTATTATATGCTACCTTTAACCTTTGTGTGCTGCAACTGACAGTGGCTGACAGTTAACAATAGTTTGCAGCTCTTTTTGGTAGCAATACATGTATGTATGTAGTGCTTATATGCTTATAGATGCAGTATATTTACAGTGCATATTTAAGGCTATTTCTGCTGTACACCAGTATAAAGGTAATACCTCAGTTTTCTACTTGTTTACTTTTACCCTTTACTAGTATTTTAAATATGTATCTTTCTACCTTGCTTGTGCATCACTTTCCTTTGGGATAAATAAAGTACCTATATATACATATGTATGTTGTCTGTTCACATGCATTTTGTTTGTTGTTCAAGTTATGCCCTAACATTGGCTTTTACCTTTATGTTTCACCGTTGCATGATTTTGTATGTGGTTAATCACCAAATGCCTTTCTGCAGTCTTATAAGAGCAGAATGGGCACTGATAAAAAGGTGAATCGGCAGACTGTAGGGGCACAGGTTCTTCTCCCTCAGTAAGAATGGTATGGTGTCTGAGGAAGAACACAACATGGAATACATTCAAATCAGAGTCTACATGTATCAAATGTTGTTATTTCTTTAAGCAGATCGATTCAGTTGGTTTGTAAGAATTTAAAAACACATCAAGATGAACAATGTAGATATTCTACATCTATGGATTCTTACGAACACTTCAAGACCAAGCATGCTGCGCTAATGTATTGGTACGGCCATACAGACAACTTACAAGGTAGGAACTTGGCAGCGAATGTCTACTGGGTTGCATAATACATAATGTATTACCTTCGGTCGTTCCCTTCCATGATAATGATGATGTATAATCGTCTTCAAATGTAATAACGCGGACAAACAGACCAACTAGGTGATCACATGGTTCTTCTTCTTCTTCTTCTTCTTCTTCTTCTTCTTCTTCTTCTTCTTCTTCTTCTTCTTCTTCTTCTTCTTCTTGGCGGTAGGGAAACAGCTGATGTGTAATGTGGACTCACAAGGCGGGGTCGCGGAATGGGGCGGAGGAGGGGTCGGACGTCCGACCCCGCCTTTTATCCAACCCCGCCCCATTCCGCGTTCCGCAGCGAGGACCTTCTCTTCCGTTTCGCTTCTCATGCACTGATTCGCTAGCTGAACAGCCAATCAGAGTGATTTATTTGGCCGAAGGCCTTTAGCCGACAGCCTCCCCGGAAGGTGTCGGCACGGCCTAAAAGACATAACGGTGCGGGACACACCAAGACACACCAATCTGAGTAGGGCGACACAACGCTCATCGACGGTCCGACATCTATCGACGCTGAAAATCGGCTTGGTGTGTAAGGACCTTTACTCAGATGAGTTTCTTGTCAGAAAGCTATGTCAACCTTTAGTTGTTGTAACCTTTTATTTGGGTTATTAACTCCTTTTACATTCCAAGATACAAACTTGGTAGGGTTGTTGATCATCCTAGTGGATTTACCTGCCATATAAACCTATAAGAAAAACGAGGGGAGCAGCAGAGAGCAGGAACATAACAAATAAAATAAATATATATATTTTATATTAATAAAAAATAAAACCTCGGACTCTAAACCTGTAAACTCTTACCCTTGTGTGATAACTCACTTTGTGCTTGTTTTGCTCTGCACTACACTACAAGCTCTGACACCACAAGAGAGAGAAAAAAGGATTTCGCAATGAAAAGTAGTAACATGGACTTGCTAAACCATTGCTTCCCGGGTAACAAAGTGACAATGTGGGGAAACCATCTTAAACTATTGGCCACGAACAATCGTCCTTAGCAACAGAAAAAGATAATCAATACAAAATAAATAGGCGGACAAAAAGTAGGAACAGCCCAATAGCCTAAATCAAAAAGTCACCTGATAAGGCGAGCAATATATATATATATCAACTCTCATAACGCCGTAACAGCCGACCGGACAGCTGTATTTTGAACCTAACTGCCGGTAAGGGAGACCCGTCATACTGTACATTAGATGATACAATGTTCAGGTTTAGTGTTTATAAAATGGGATTATCCTGTAAAGACAATGTTCCGGCCGATAATGGAACATTTATATTATTATGTCATATTCTGATAATGAAGTTATAGTTGATAAACTCTTGGAGCATAATACAAATTGCTTTTATTGACTTATCAAGCGCTGCATTCAACACTCAGATACAGTCGGTAGTGGAATGCAATTTTAAAGTGGGTTTGAAAACACAATCGTAATTTGCAATACTAACTTTCAGATGTAGATAAAAATGAATAAAACATGAGATTGGGAGCATATCGCAGGCAGAAGAAGATACAGAATGTTTCTCATAATAAAATGTGTCCTTGAACAAGAGATCACCAGCGAACTAGTGCTCACTTCTAATAATTGTTCACAAAATAAGTAAGGGGTATAATTCCAAATGATATTTAGTATAAATATTGGAGGTTTAGGATTTCATTTGGTAAAAATAAATAAAAGTGTGAACCAAAGCGTGATAATGATAAAAACAGATGTCCACACTGTTGATCTCAACAAAGCAAAGTGCTTTTGTAAAATGCGACTGATCTGACTGAAGTCCACGGAGGCTGTTTGTGTGTACAGCATGATGACCGTCACTCAGCTGAATGTTTACTCTTTCTCAACTTCTTCGCTTTTTGGCTGACTGCCCTCAACAATTATTAACTGGTCCTGATCTGAACTGTAACCCTTTTGGCTTCATTATTTCATTCCTGACGAAATGTGCGTGAGATATCTTGGTTTTTTTCTCCTGGTTTGGAATCCACAAGTGCTGCATGGTAAGGAAATTCAACTCTGTTACTTAGAAACTTCTGAATTTGTCTGGATGTATATTATTTGACAGTTATGTGTCGTTATATTTCAGCACAAAGTGCAGCTCAGCCTTGTTCTGCTCCCAGTCTGGATGGCGGGTTTTTTTCCACTGGACAATCAGCTTATAATCATGAAGCCACGCTCAGTTATGCCTGTCATGACGGACTCAAACCAGCAGTGAAGGGCCGGTCGGGGACCAGCAGGTGTCAAAATGGCAATTGGTCTCCTAAACCCCAATGTATAGGTACGTTTTCTAAAGTTTTTCTGGTGGTTTGTTTAAATGAGCCACTCTACGTTGTGTTTTTTAGTGTACGGTGTTATACTTTTCTTTTTTTCTATTATCCCTTTTGGAAAATCCTTTCAGTTCTGCCCAAAGATTTATTTTCATTTCATTCTGATTGGGATTTAAAGGATAATGTCTTGCTTTTGTACCTGTATGTCACTTACTTGAGAGATTTTTTGTAATGATATATTTGTTGTACATTAGTCAGCTTTTTGTTAAAAGTTTCCATCCATCTTCACCAACAGATATGAATACAAACACCAACACAACCCGGCGGCACACACATATTTTAGCATAACATTTAAAGGGTTGGCAAAGATTGCTTTTTATTTCATTTCTGAATGATGCTGGTTCATTTTGTGCTGAACTTATTTAATGTCAAACAATGAAATAAATATCTGAGTTCTGGTTACATTTTACAATAATGTTTGGTTTAAATTGTGTTGTGTTCAAAAGCTGTTACCATTCATGGTGTTCGCGGGTCACTGTTGACTCATGATTTATCTCAGTCCAAAACACACACAAAAAATGACTATCATCCAATATTATTTTAACTACATCATAACTAACTTATAATGCATTCATACCCGTACAATCCTGTTGTAATTTAATGTTATGGCCCCAAACACATCACACCACATATTGCACACGTGCATATGTGTGTTCAGGTTCAAGTGTTAGTGCACATATTCTTTGAGAAAGGTGGAGTTCCCGTGGGGGAGGGGCAGAGGGAGGGGAGACCAGGTGCATGTTGCAAAAAAATATTGTTACAGTTGATGAAGGGGGGTGGGGGAGGGGTGTCTAAAGTCAAAGATGAATCTTGATTGGGCCAAATTTGACCTCGAGTGACCCAAACAGGCCCAGACCCGAACACCAATTTATACACTTTTTTTTTAGAGACCTTCAGACTTGGCAAAAATGGTCAAAATCTGTTTTGTAGTGTTTATATACTTGTTGTGGAGGATATCAATTGTTCCGATAAAAAAAACTAAAGCGTAGTTATTATATAATTTTAACTTGAAACGGGTCACGGGAGACCCAAACACAACATAAGGGTTGATACAACCGTAGAGATATTGTTCACTCAAATAATGGCATTTTAAAAATGAAAAGACTGTCAAGAAGGTATCATTTTTTCTTAATTGTTGATCTTGAAAAAGTATTTGGGGTTCCTAACGTCCACTGAATAAAGGACAATGCATAGGAGCTGTCGTGTGCTGCACTTTATTTCAAATGTTATTAATTTATTTTTCAACTCAGATGAAAAAGCCTGTGTGCCACTGACTATCCCAAATGGAAACTATGATGCAAGCACAGATGGTTGGTATGGAGAGAGAGACAGAATCTGGGTAAGATGTGACGACGGATATGAACCCAAAGACCGTGGCACCACAGCGCAGTGTATGAACGGAGCATGGTCCTCTGTACCAATCTGTGAAAGTAAGTAAGTCAGTCAAAAAAAACAACAGTTGTCAGAATCAAATCCTTGTCTAAATCTTAAAATCAATGTCACCAACTCTAAGAATCATAGAACTATACATCGAGACACTTTTTCCTTGCTATCTCTTGTTTATTTCTTCATTTTCAGAGAGTACCGAATCATGTGGTGATCCCCCTAAAATCCCCCATGCAGTCATCATTGTTAAGGGATGCCAGGAGGTGTTTGCTGTAAACTCACAACTGCAATATCAATGTGAAGATGGATATACTGCAGAGGGAGAAGACAACAAAACAATCATTTGCATCTCAGGAAACTGGGCTGAAGGCCCAACGTGCAGTAAGTTGACAATTTATTGAGAAATGCGCCAATAAGAACACTTTTCATTAGTTCTGTGTCATTATGGATTGGTGAATTATAAGATGTTACAAATGACCCTTGTCCAAAATTAAATGGCTTCCATGGTCTAAATTAACCAAATATGGCAGAATTTAAGGTGAAGTCAACTACTGATTCAACAATAATTAGAAATAACAATAAAATAAACTTGATGCATGGCCATTTCAAATAGTGAAAAGCATTAGAAAATGTCTCTACTAGACTATGAAACAAATATTTAAATACATTCAAAATACACTTTATGTAGAAATATTACTGAACACAAAACACTTCAATTGTTAGAAGAAAACAACATTCTTATTAAGCAAGTCATGGTCCTCTCTGAAGAACCAGCACCTTACCGTGGTAGAGAGGTTTGTGTGCCCTGATGAACCTGGGGGCTGTGTTGCCTGGAACCTTGTGTTCCTGGTAGGGTCTCCCATGGCAAATTGGTCTCAGGCAAGGGGTCAGACTAAAATTGGTTCAAAGACCACATGAAAGACGACACAAGAAGTGAGGATACCCGGCCCGGAGGAAGCCCGGGGTCCCCTTCTGGAGCCAGGCCCAGAAGGAGGACTCGTCGGCGAGCGTCTGGTGGCCGGGCTTGCCACGGAGCCCGGCCGGGCACAGCCCGAAAAGGCAACGTGGGCAACACCTCCGCTTCTCCGTCCCGCGGGCCCACCACCTACGGGAAACAGCGATGGGGTCGGGTGCGCTGCCAGAAGGGTGGCAGTGAAAGCAGAGGGTCTTCCCTTGGGGACGTGGAACGTCACCTCTCTGGGGGGGAAGGAGCCGGAGCTTGTGCGGGAGGTGGAGCGTTACCAGTTGGATCTGGTTGGGCTCGCCTCTACGCACAGCGTCGGCTCTGGAACCTTACTTCTGGATAGGGGTTGGACTCTATTCTTCTCCGGAGTTGCTCAAGGTGTGAGGCGCCGGGCGGGTGTGGGGATACTCACAAGCCCCCGGTTGGGTGCCTCTTTGTTGGAGTTTACCCCAGTGGACGAGAGGGTCGCCTCCCTACGCCTGCGGGTTATGGGGGGGAAAACTCTGACTGTTGTGTGTGCTTATGCACCCAACAGCAGTTCAGAGTATTCGGCCTTCTTGGCGACCCTGGAAAGAGTCCTGTATAGGGCTCCTGAAGGGGACTCTTGAATTTTGCCGGGAGACTTCAACGCACATGTGGGCAATGATGGAGACATTTGGAGGGGCGTGATTGGTAGGAACGGCCCCCCTGTATGAGTATGGGGTGAGGGGGTCTCTACTCAGGGCCATCCAATCTCTGTACTCCCAAAGCGAGAGCTGTGTCTGGGTCCTCGGCAGTAAGTCGTCGATAATGGAAAATGTATATTATTATGTTATATTCTGATAATTAAGTTATAGCCAAATTGCTTATATTGACTTATCAAGCGCTGCATTCAACACTCAGATACAGTCGGTAGTGGAATCCAATTTTAAAGTTGGTTTGAAAACACAATCGTAATTTGCAATACTAACTTTCAGATGTAGATAAAAATGAATAAACATAAGAATGGGAGCATATCGCAGGCAGAAGAAGATACAGAATGTTTGTGTGAACCAAAGCGTGATAATGATAAAAACAGATGTCCACACTGTTGATCTCAACAAAGCAAAGTGCTTTTGTAAAATGCGACTGATCTGACTGAAGTCCACGGAGGCTGTTTGTGTGTACAGCATGATGACCGTAACTCAGCTGAATGTTTACTCTTTCTCAACTTCTTTGCTTTTTGGCTGACTGCCCTCAACAATTATTAACTGGTCCTGATCTTAACTGAAACCCTTTTGGCTTCATTATTTCATTCCTGACGAAATGTGCGTGAGATATCTTGTTTTTTTCTCCTGGTTTGGAATCCACAAGGGCTGCATGGTAAGGAAATTCAACTCTGTTACTTATGGCGCGTTTCCACTGCAGCGGGTAGCTCGCTTTAAGCGTGCCGAGCCGTGCGGGGCCCGTTTTTGGTTGCGTTTCCACTTGGCCTAGTTTTGGCCCGGGGCTACCGGTTAGTAAAAACCATGAATTAATGCTTTGACAAGTCTGCAGACGAAAAACCCTTTTAAAATGCGTGTTTTCTAAATGGAGCTTGGCTAAGCTAACGTTATATATGCTCCGACTGTCCACACTCACAACAACGGCCTATACAGACATAAATAAACCAGCGACTGTATTCGCCATGACACAGGCAGTCTGTGGTTTGTACTTGTTTAACTTTTGTCTAGTTTCTGAACAGATATGAAGAGCTGTGAGCTCTGAGTGCTAACAGCTAACGGCTGTGTTGTTTTTCTGGGACTCTCATTGAAGATGACGTCAGGGCTCCGCCTACACTGCGTTACTATAGTAACTGCCCCAGTTCCTAAACTGTAATGGAAACGCAGCATTAAAGTGAGCCGGGCCTAATAAGGCCTAACCAAACCGAGCGAGGCCTGCAGTGGAAACGCGCCATTAGAAACTTCTGAATTTGTCTGGATGTATATTATTTGACAGTTATGTTTGTCGTTATATTTCAGCACAAATTGAAGCTCAGCCTTGTCCTGCTCCCAGTCTGAATGGCGGGTTTTTTTTCCCCTGGACAATCAGCTTATAATCATGAAGCCACGCTCAGTTATGCCTGTCATGACGGACTCAAACCAGCAGTGAAGGGCTGGTGGGGGACCAGCAGGTGTCAAAATGGCAATTGGTCTCCTAAACCCCAATGTATAGGTACGTTTCCTATATTATGTCCCCTTGTTTGTTTGATTGAGACACTGTGTCTGTCACCTTTCAGGTATTTTTTCAAACAATAAAAATTACATGAAAGTTCTGATTTAGCTTTAAGATGTTAGTTGCTTTAATAAATCTTTGGAAATAATCAATCATTCATTTAATCCATCAAAATACTTGATATATCCCAGGGGGTAAATTAAGTTTCGTGAAAGTTGCACCATAAAACCACATTTCAACCACTCATCCCGTACCTCTTCTTTTTAATACAGTATGATCTTCTTTTCACAGAGATTACTCAATCATGCGCTGAGCCCCCTAAAATCCCCCATGCAGTCATCATTAATCGGGAATACCAGGAGGTGTTTGTAAATGATTCAACGGTTCAGTATCAATGTGAAGATGGATATGCTGCAGAGGGATCAGACACCAAAACAATCACTTGCATCTCAGGCAACTGGACTGAAGGCCCAACGTGCAGTAAGTAGACAATTTACTGAGATTAAAATACTTTTTATGAAATGCAGAAGGAAACAGTTGACCTCTCTCTTAACACCTCCCTTGACAGCAACTGTCCAAAGAGAGCATAACAACCCTAGCTCTGTAACTAGCTCAACTAGCTCAACTAGCTCAAGCTCTGAATGTCTCCAAAAAACAGCCCAATTCATTCCCAAGATATAGATTGAATTAAAACTATTTGATAATCATTGAACAATTAATTCCATTTAAGTAAAACAGTAGTAATAATAGGCTTTGACAGTATTAAATAGCCTCTTTTTTATTTAAGTTAACAACTGTGAAGCATACCCAAGCGTTCCAAAAAAACTGCAGCACAAGTAGCAGAGCTATGCGAAGATAAGGTCCACTAAAGCATCAAAAGACGCTGTCAAGCCTTTGTGATCACGCTCTGTATAATGTGCGCTACACAGATGCTCCTATTTCCTGCTGCTATCATAATGCAAGCAGTAACTATTTCTACAGTAAAAACCTTGTCTTCCACTCCTGTGAAACTTCAATTAACTGGCTCCTACATCACAAAGCAAAATGCCTTTCCTTCCTTCTTTTATTTAGTTGTGCTGTTACTGCTTCCTGATGTCCAGTGGTCTCCAGTCGGTGACATACATGTAGCTTGCCTTTTTACTGCCATACAATTCATGGTAAACATATGAGCTGTAATTATAGGAGGAAGTTGTGAATTGGTATGTGAATAGTTTGTGTAGATTTTTTAAAAACGTTTAGGTTTCCAGATAAATCTCAAGCGTTAACATGTTAATGTTGACCGGCCTGTTTTTTCAATTAAATTACAATGTTAAAAAGCCTCTTTTTGATTTTAGATGCCAACTGTGGAGACTACCCAAGTGTCCCAAACGGAGATGTTGTTGTGCAAGTGAACGGAACATCTTTGAAATACCAATGTAACGAATTGTACACACTAGAGGGTCCAGAAAGTGTGACGTGTCAAAGCAATGGCAAGTGGACAGAACCACCATCCTGCAAAGGTATAAACAAGTCATAACAACAAGTTTTTGTTCCTAAAGATATATCACCGACATATATTACCCGAGTAATTATACATACGTTTTTCTTTCTGTGCAGCGGCTTTCTGTGTCATAGATCCTGATCTAACAACTATGCGCGATATTAAACTATCTGCAGTTGAATACATAAAGGAAAGACAGCGGAAGTATATTCCGTGTATTTGGATTGATAGGACCCGCCTTGTTCAATGCATTTATGGAAGAACGTATTCTTCCGTCTGTAAGTATATGGAGTCATTTTCACACAGAACAATAATTCAAACTTAAGAACATGAATTGTAATGTCAATACTGTTACACTTTTTTGATATTTGTGTTAAATAGAATTCACCAGAAAGCAGGAAACAGAGTTGGTAAAAAAATATTTTTAAATTATCTCTATTTTTTAGGTCTTAAGGGTTGCAAATAATGTGTAGCTGTAGCCCGACCTTAATAACTTGTAAAAATACAGATTTGTACACATTTTCTTGGACTTTTTTAACACTAGGGTAGCCATGCACACTTTAGTGAATGAGAATTCAGTTAGAGCAGTTTGTGTGAAAGAAATGACGTTCTGAAATATTCACTGCTGTTCTGTTGTTATTGGATTATTTCTAGGTTGTACGAGCTTTGATCATCATTATGTAAGTGCAATTCAGACGTCTCATTATTTTAACTATATTTGATCAGTTTTACATTGTTGAATTAATGTCTGTGCCTTTCCAGAATGGATGCAAATCAGAGGGCCGGATTGAAAACAGAAGCACAGTTTGAAGCATTTGACATATCTCCACCAGAGAAGAGAAACACCCCAACAAAAAAAATATTTGTAAATTATTTTCTTTTAAATCAGCTGTTTTTGTTGTTGTTTTGATCGAACCTATTTACACAATGTTGAAGCAAATTGTTCTTTAAGAGTATTTTTATGTTTCGAACTCTTGATGCACTAATGTCTATAAACACTTTGATTACAAATAAAAGTGAAATGGTCTACAGTAGACTGAATAAACGGTAATTGTTCTTAAACAATCGTATTAACTTGTATTAACACACAGCTTAGTTGAATACTCAATTTTCATTGGTCAACCAGAAGTTGTTGATGTTTTGCTAAGAGACCGCTGCAAATGAGAGCATACCGTGGCCGTTTCTCAATCTCGAGGATGCTGGCTTGGCTTCCAAGTCACTTCCTTCAGAAACGAAGCAAGTATACTTCCAAGCCACGGCTTCGGAAAACGAAGAAGAATGGAACAGGCTAACAAGTGTGCCACTCTCTCTAACGGTTTCAACATAAACTGTACCGAAAATAAATACCTCACGATGTCTATCTAATTATGAACTTGCTTTACTTTCACGGAACACATTTTTGGTGATAACAAAGTAAGATATTTACCAACACATGTTCTACGCCACTACATACTTACATTTAAATGTTTGCTGCGTCGATTCAGCCATTCTCCGCAAGGTTTTTTGAAATTGATCCGTGCGCAAAGCATTGTGGGGATTTTAAGGACGTGAAGTCTACCCATGTGCAGCCTCGAAATTTCCCCCAAACCAAGGACGCGGCCTCGGTGGAATTCCAAGTATGCTGGACATTGGAACGGTCCTGTTGCGCCACTTGATGACGTAGCATCCTTGAAATATTGGCTTGGAAGCCAGTATCCTCGAGATTGAGAAACGGCCCGTAGCTACAAGAGGATCAGGGGACTATGTGCAGTCATATCAATCCACAGAAAGGTCCGGTTAATTTAACGCCAGATGTGCACAACAATCTTTGTTCTCCATCAGATACACCATGCATCATTTTTATATTTGTGTACAGCACAAAGCTTTGGATTCATGATGGCTGAACTGCCCCGAGTAAAGAAAAGAAAAAAAGAGCGCATGAGAAGGCAAGGCAAGGCAAGGCAAGGCAAGTTTATTTATATAGCACTTTTCAACACAAGGCAATTCAAAGTGCTTTACAAAAAATGAAAGAGATTAAGAAAATGGCATTTAAAATCAGTCATTAAAAAGAAAAGCTAATAAAATAAACATTAAAAGAAAAAATACATGGATAAAAGTTAGAGTGCAATTAAACATTAAAAGAAAAAAGTACATGGATAAAAGTTACAGTGCAGTCTAAGATATGAATAGTTCAATTAAAAGCAGCGACAAAAAGAAAAGTCTTCAGCCTGGATTTAAAAGTAGTCAGAGTTGCAGCGGACCTGCAGGTTTCTGGGAGTTTGTTCCAGATATTTGGAGCATAATAACTGAACGCTGCTTTACCGTGTTTAGTTCTGACTCTGGGGACAGAAAGCTGACCAGTCCCTGAAGACCTGAGAGATCTGGATGGTTCATAATTTAGCAGGAGGTCAGAAATGTATTTTGGGCCTAAACCATTCAGTGCTTTATAAACCAGCAGCAGTATTTTGAAATCTATTCTTTGACACACAGGAAGCCAGTGTAAAGACTTCAGAACAGGAGTGATGTGATCCACTTTCTTAGTGTTAGTGAGGACTCGAGCAGCGGCGTTCTGAATCAGCTGCAGCTTCCTAATATATTTTTGAGTGAGACCTGTGAAGACACCATTGCAGTAGTCGAGTCTACTGAAGATAAAAGCATGGACAAGTTTTTCCAAATCTTGCTGTGACATTAGTCTTTTAATCCTAGATATATTCTTTAGGTGATAGTAGGCTGATTTAGTAACTGTTTTAATGTGACTGTTGAAACTCAGGTCAGAGTCCATGACTACACCTAGATTTCTGGCTTTATCTGTTGTTTTGAACATTGCACACTGAAGCTCAGCGCTAACTTTTATACGTTCTGCCTTGGCTCCAAAAACCATTACCTCAGTTTTATCTTTGAGAAGGAAAGATTTTAAATGAGAATCAGAGAAATGAACAGAAGATAGACAGGAAGTAAACACTAAAGAGAACAGAGGAAGAAGACGGACAGGAAGTAAACACTAAAGAGAACAGAGGAAGAAGACGGACAGGAAGTAAACACTAAAGGGGAACAGCAGAAGAAGACTGTGGCGCAGTGGCCTAGTGCGTTGGTGTTCGGATCAAGTCCTCCAACTCATACGACCAAATACTGTAGGTCGATTGTTCAAGCGCTTAATACGACCTATAATCACATTTTAAAGTTTTCGCCCTCTAGTGCTCCCGTTAACTGCAAACGTTACAGAGGGTCGTTTATTCACAAATAACCCTCTCTGGAAAATCCTATATTGTAGGATAGTTTGGCCATTAAAATGCTTTTTTATTAGATTTCTAGCGAGAAATGTATATTGTACTTTTATAATCTACGTCCAGTGGATGTGTAGCATTTTAATGGCCAAACTATTCCACAATTTAGGATTTTCCAGAGAGGGTTATTTGTGAATATACGACCCTCAGGAGCATGTTGTTTCTTACACGACCACTAGAGGTGCTACACTTTAAAACGTGACTCTGGGTCGTAATAAGCTGCTGAACAATCGACCTATATGGTCGTTTTTTGTAGGAGGACAGGCTGGTACTTTTATCCTCTCTTGTGTAGCCTGTAATGCAACCTGGGGGTCGGGGTTCATAAAGAGGTCTTAAAGGTGGGGTAGGTAAGTTTGAGAAACCGGCTCGAGATACACTTTTTGTTATATTCCATGGAATGCTCTTAACATCCCGATAGCAATGAATATCTTAAGTGCTTTGACAATAAATCCATAACAAAATGTCATCTCTGGAAGCTGTGGCGCTGTAAAAAGCACGACGACCAATCATCTGAGCCGGCCCGGCTAAAGTAACTGGATGGCCTACCTGCCTGTCAGCCTTCCATCTGGGCACAAACTTATCTCGTGCCCTCATTGGTCATGTGCGCGTTCGTGTGTGTTGGAGGAGGGGCTCTGTAAGGAAGGGGCAGATTTGTTCCGCCTGTGTATTTTCAAATTCTAGCGCACTCGAGCTGGTTTCTCCAAAATGACCTACCCCACCTTTAAGATAAATCTGAGAGGTCATGTTGCTCATTTTTGGGGAGTTTTCTCAAAGGGAATACACATTTTCTCATGAGATTTTAAGCCTTTTATTACTCGATAGAATCGACAGTGTGTGTGAGTGGGAGTCAGTTTGAACACACACACACACACACACACACACACACACACACACACACACACACACACACACACACACACACACACACACACACACACACACACGTCACACACACAGGATCAGAAGGGATAATCCTGCAGATCTTCCAGGATGCCATCTGTAGTTTGAACAAAGTTTATTTTCTGTTACATCGCTAGGGGGCGCTGTGGGTTTGTTTACAAATCACATCATTGATTCACTTTAATGTGAGACACACACAGCGACATGTACAAGGGTTATCCAACTATACGCACAACATAAACTTTATTTCTAATTAAAGAAAACACTACAACAAAGGGGGAACATTTTTAGAAGAAAAGTTATGTTGATAACTCAATACTTTTAAAAAGTAAGATTAAACAAGATGTTTTTATTGACAACAGACAGTATAGGAAGTCCCCAAATCCAACTTTGTAAACAAAATAGCAACAGACTCTCAAAGGAGTAACCCGGTTCAAAGTGACACACTTTAAGATCCTTCTCTCGTTTCCTGTCCTCTGTTGTTTCCTTTCCTTCTCCTTAAAGGAAACTACAGTCACTGCTTTATATTCGGTGTATTTTGAGTCACCTCTCTATTGTTTACTGTCATGTATTCACTTGTTTTATGTTTATTGACATCTCCTTTTTCCTCATGTCTCTTGTTTCCTTTCCTCTCCTTAAGGAAAGTGTATTTTTGGTGTACTTTACAAACCAGTCTCTAGTTTACATTTGGTTTCATTTAGCATCCTCTTTGTGGTCTAACTAACCACATTAAAGCTTAAATACCCCAATAAGTACTTCTTAAAGTAAGTGGTGTTGATTATTCCTGGGAGAATATGTGGGTTTTTCCGATATTGAAACCTTATCACCACAAAACAAACATCCCAGATGTATCCATACTCTCCTCCTCGCCTCCTTCCCTTCTTAATTTCCTCTCCTCACTTCAGTTTCCTCTCCTTGTCAAACGGAGAAACGGTGAAGCGACGGAGGAGGAAATGAAGGAGAGAGATTATCTGCTGCTGCCACTTTCTGTAGATCCCTGCTCTGCTGAGTCACCACGTCTCACACTCTATATACACACACACACACACACACACACACACACACACACACACACACACACACACACACACACAACCACACACACACACACACACACACACACACACACACACACACACACGACACACACACACACACACACACACACACACACACACACACACACCATGTATATATCACTTCAGGGGACATTACATTGACTTACATGCCTTTCCAGGAGACTTAACCTAACCTTAACCATAACCAACACATGCCTAAACCTAACCAAGTCTTCACCCTAAAATTAATGATTCCCCTCATGGGGACCTCCATTTTGTCCCCATAAGGGAGGCGAGTCCCCACACGTGACTATGAAAACAGATGTAGGTCCCCACAAGTATAGTAATGCTAGGACACACACACACACCACACTGGGATAATCTGAATTAACACTTTCAGTCACCACGTCTCGCCCTCCTCACGCAGATACACACCAGACTTCATATCCACGACTCAAGCTCTCACACACACACACACACACACACACACACACACACACACACACTGGGATAATCTGAATTAACACTTTCAGTCACCACGTCTCGCCCTCCTCACGCAGATACACACCAGACTTCATATCCACGACTCAAGCTCTCACACACACACACACACACACACACACACACACACACACACACACACACACACACACACACACACACACACTGGGTTAACACTTTCAAAAGCCTCTGTCGTTCATGATGGCCCTCGTCGATCTTGTCTTTTAGGGTTTATAGAGTCATGACTTGAACGTAAGATATCTCTTCAAATGCACACTGTATCATAACCTCATCATTTATTCTTTGCCAGCTGGTCCTGCTTTAGTTTCTCGGCTTTCCG